CCTAACTTCTGAGCTCTGGAATCCAAAAGAAAGGTTGGAGCATAGTTTGTATGTGCAATTAGTATATACCATAAGAGCCCCCACATAAAAACAAATTTTCCTTAAAGCATCTGGAAAAAAAACTGCAGAAATTAGGAAAGTAAAAAATAAGTTTGTGCTGAAGTTCCTCCAAGCTTGCAAAAAACTTTTCTCATCATAATAAGGTTGCATTTATTACAAAATCACAGTAAAAAGCTGCCCCAGACAGCAGGTCACACTTGAGACTGACAAGTAAAATAGCTGGTGTCACTCAGGACAAGATGATAGAGAGTCATTTAAGACTGTTGAACTAGTAAAGTTTAAAAACAGAACAAACACACACTGTTCTTTCTCAAATACCTTCAGTCTCTACTGCGAACAGTCCCAGCCAAATATGAAAAGTGACTCTTAAGACAAACTCCTAACTTACTGCTACCAATTTACCTTAAATAAACTGTGTCAAGTAAATGACTTCATAGAGAAGCAACCATCAGAAAAGATGCACGCATTTCAGGAGTGAAAATAAATAGTGATCAGGAAAGTAATTGCTACATAAGGAATCTCACTGCTCCTATGGACTACATGGGTGCTCAAACATCTGATGAACTGAGCTCATCTTCGGGAACACCAGCCTTGCCACACAGCTCTCCTCTTCCCCAGTGCTCTCCTCTGCATGGCTAGGAAACAAGAACTTTCATTAGGAATCTGAACTTTTTAATTAGCCATCAGAAATTCAGTAAATACACCAATCAGTACCTAATGGAAATGTCTGATGCTGCCCAGCAGCTCCATAAAATGCCTGGAGCAGACTGGAACAGCAAGTTTACTTCCCTGTTCAGGATACATCAGATCACGCAAACCAGATCTCTTCTATTAAGGCAAGAGTCTCTGAAAGCCTTACAAATTGGGTAGGGCAGGATTCAGAAGGTAAAAAAAGCCATACTCTTGCTGGGATACACTCTAGGGACCAGGAAACAATCAGAGCCAGGTCTTGCAGAGACCGCAGGCTGTGCTGCATTGCTTAACTTCCCCTGGCAAAGGCTTGCATCCCAGCAGGACAGGGCTGGCTGGGGAGGCAGAAGTCAGAAGCCAGGCCACTCCTGCCCTGCCTGTCCCCACTGCCTGGGGACGACAGCCACAAGGCTCCCTGACACTGCTGGTGGCAGACAGTGAGCAGCACAAGACAGGGATGATGCCACAGCTTCTCAGGCCTAGAGATAGAAGAAAATTCTGGGGCTGCTATCCCACCTGGGAGAACATCCATATAATACGTTTGGCAGACATCAGTGTGTTTCATTTGAGATGCTGTCAAAACATGCATAAAATGTTAGATTTAAAAAAAAAAAAAAAAACACAGGAGACCACCCAAACTAACCCTGATCATGTAATGTATCAAATGAACTAAGGCAAGAAATTTAGAACACCAAGAGCAATCAGGATACAAGCATGCAATGCGTGCATAAATCTGTTGTGGCACTAAAACAACTCTGATTTCTTTAATATATATATATTAAATACAAAATTGCATACTGCTGAGAAAGAAAGTAAAGCAGAAGCTACTCTCTGCACCTCCTTTTGTATTATTACAAAGGCTTTTTTTTTTTTTTTTTTTAATGTGTAGCAGCAAATATTTCTGGTTATTATATTTTATGATTCTGTACTCGAGAGCATTGTATTATATATGGCCTTTTTCTGCAATTAACCTCCAAAACAAATTAAATATTAATGGGTAAACACCAATTATGATTTTGAGAAACAATAAAAGGACCATAAATTAAATAATGCAGATAGAACAGTAAAGCATTTTCACATGATCAAAACAGTGTTTTAGCGTTAACGTTTTCCCATTCTAATGGAAAATGTAACCCTGCTCTCATAGCTGTGGTCACTGCATATAATGCAGAGCAATGCCACCTTTTCTGCAGCTCCGCTCCTGCTAAGTGCGAGCACAAGGAGCTGTGCTGCTCCTCCAGCCGAGCCAAGCAGCACAACAAGATCTGATGTTTCACAGCAATCCCTCGTTTGATGCTGCGCAGTGCTGCACGATGCTTTCACAGCTATTCCTAGACTGTTTCCATCTTCTGCAATTCATTACACACAGTTCTATATTTCGCTCAGTAGTACCAGCTCTGCCACATATATGAAGAATTTTCCCACTATTGTACTTTTTAACCTTAGGCTTGCTAACGGAGGGGGGAGGAAGAAAGTCACAACGCAGAAATACTTTGAAATATCACTCAGGCAACAGCCTCATTGCTTTAAGGTCACTGCTTCTGTTTCCCAGGGCTGATTTTTATGAAAAAAATAGAGGTCTGAAACAAACCATTTAAACCAGCTTCTAAATGCAGTCCAATGCTGATTTAAATAGCAGCTGCTTGATGCTGAGATGCACGGCCCCTCCCACGCTTCACCACGCCAGTCAATGGCTGCTTCACAAACTGCAAGTGACATGGGACACGTTGTTCACAAACAAACCAGATTTATGGTTATATTCAGTTGTTCCTGTTATCTGAAATTAGAATTTGAAGCTCATTAAAAATGAATACGTTTCAGAGAAAGTAGAGGCACTGCATTGTATTGATGAAAGCTTCATTAAATTTTCAATGATAAAGCTGCTTCTATATTTGTGAAGGAAGGACGTGTGGTAGAAAGACATTGGTTGGGGCAACTCTCCTACAGGCAACTTTGCATCTTTCCACCATCACTAAAACCCATTTCAGAATAAAACACTGAACTAATTAGGGGTAAGAGAAAGAGGTGGAGGTCCATTACATTCAATGAATGGTTACTTTCAGATGCATTTACCAATTGAAGCTCTAGAAGGAGGGAACCACTAGAACTCTGGAAATGGGATCCAACTGATCCAGCTCACAGAAAACACAGGCTGTGCAGGTTCTTGCTTAATGATGCAGTTACCTCTGAACTACCCACATAGAGAAATCCCATGAGTTTTGGAAATCAAGTCTCACTTGTGCAAGTAGAAATATAAAGCTGCATCGCAGTCATAAATACAGCCTTATTATTTTTTTTTGCCAGACTGAAGCAAAAAAAAAAAAAAAAAGTCAACCTGCAACAGAGCATAAATAGGTCAGACCATGTCTAATTTATAATTCTCTCACGTCAGACAATTAAAATCTGTGTATGTAAACCACCCATAACCAATCTGCATGGAAGAATGCAGAATGAAACTGCAGAAGAGAAAATCCCAGTGGTCTGATCCCTCTGGTGGTCACACGCACTGATAGAAACGCACTCCATCTCTGCACAGTTACCCCTTCCCTCAGAAGGCAGGCTGAGGCAGTCAGGCTGCTCCCCTCTGCATCCATCAGCCTGCTTCAGCCCAGCCAGGCAGTGGCTGGAGGCCTCGTGCCACGTCACTCCTGCACAGCGTATGGCTGAGCGCTGCCTTTTTCCCCTTCAAGCTATGTGCTTGCCTGCCAGAAGCTGAGCTGTAGGGCTGCTCTTTTCAGCTTGCCAGGACTGCCACCTCTTTCAGCCCTCCAGAGAGACAACATTCAACCAATGTGCATGCAGACAATGTCATTTTATCCTTGTTTATTCTCCCCATTCAAACCCTGTTTCAACAAGTTTACTTTTTTTTCCTTCCTCTCCAGTTTTCCTTGGCATGCACAGTGAGCATTTAGCAACCGACCTCCTCAAAAATCACCATGAGGCACTATTATCCTCACATCACCAGTTAAGGAAATTAAGCCGATATAACGCCTGAAGCATGCCCAAATTTCACATTTCTGATTTGAGAGCGATTAGCATTAGCGCTCTGTAGGATTTCCTCTGCTCAAAGCACAGCTCCCAGGGAGTGGAGGAGCATTTCCGCAGGCTGTACTTCTGCAGGGCAGCCTGAGCAACAGGTGAGCCCCTGGAAAATGTGGGGCTTCGGGAACTTGGCCGCTCCAGGACTTTGCAAAGCATTCCTCAAATGCTGGGTGCTGCTGCAACCCCACAAGGGAAAAGCAATGTATTGGGGTCACACGCTCCAGGTCACTCCCCTAAGGTCCTCATGCAGTTGTTCTCCTTTCCCAACCAAGATCCATTCCTGCATTTGTGTTTTGTTCACTGTCACAAGCTAGGGCTGGGAGTCACCCTCCCCTTCCAGGTCCTCTCCAAACACTGCGGTTTCCCCAGAGCCATGAGATGTTTCCCAGACACATTCTCTACTAAAGAGAGGGATCTTTCCAGAATTTCTTACTTAGCAGCAAAGCTTCCCATGTGCATGCCCCAATTTCATCCTAAGGAACAGGTCTGCAGGGGGCTGCTGGACTCATGCACTGCTGACATACTGCCCACACGGAGACAGCTCGCTCTGGACACATCTGCATTTCCATCCTGTGCCACCTTTCCACAAAACCAAACAGACAGAATAGAAACAAGGATTTGTTTAATGAGACTTTAGGCCAGGTTTTATTGGAAGACTAGAAACAAGACGGTTCAAATACAGTAATTCTAGACTAAGCTCAACTGACATGGGCCTCTCCAGCTCCCAAATTGCCCCAATGCTGCCTGGCTCACAACATTCACAGCAGCACCACATCATCCTGGTGTTGCCCTCAGTCTTAAACGTCCCCTTTCTCAGGACACAGATTTTGTTTGCTTTCTCTGGAACAAGGGGATTTGGAGGATTTAAAGGCAGCTTCTCATCTCCAGGCCACAGCAAATCAGTCACAGAGTTATCAGACTACACCACCACCACTGACAGCCCTTCCCAACGCCATCCAGGGTGCGTAAGGACTGAGAGTTTGCGATCTTCTTAAGCTTGCAGACAGCTACTCCGAGAACACCACGAACCCTTCTCTTTACACAAGGCTATTCATATACTCATGTTAAAGATTATCCAGTCATTAGTTACACATATAGACTTTTCAGCTCCTAATCTCCATGAAGTTACCAGTTTTTATAGGACGCGCACACGACACACTGCCAGCAAGGAGTACAAAGGCACGTGTGTCTGCCCGTACTTGCCTGGAACAAGCGAGGTCTTCCTCCTTCAACCTGGCACTGTCAGCAATTCTTGTGATGCAACAAATCTTGGTGCCAAACCTGCAGCCCAATCAGACCCAACGCTTCCCATGCTGACTCCCAGGTTTGAAGGTGTCAGAATCAGCTGAAGCGCTCCCTTCAGTTTTGCTGTCTAGGAAAATGAGAAATTCTCTGTAACCTGGGTACAAACGGACAGCCTGCTGACACTGCTTGGCATTACTAAAATTAGGGAGCGGAACGTTCTTAGGACTTGAGAACTCTGACCTGAACGCTGCTTCTTAAAAAGCACCTGCTCCTCACTCTGCACCAACCCACTGTTTTCCAGCTCTCTGTACATCCACTTATCTTTGTAACTTTAAGGAATCAACATGCTCAGATGAAGCCTAGGATTCTGCAAATGCTCAGACATATATTTAACCTTTGTGCTATTCATTGGAGCAGGACTGCAGTAAAACAGTAAAAATAATTACCTACGTGTTTCTCAGTTTGAAGCATAACTGCCATCAAACCAGATTATTTGCTGATCATTCATTTGTGGCAGAGGCATCCTGTTTTCTTTCCTGAACATGAACACTCTCCCTCCCATGTATGCTGTATACAACTACAAAGGAAGCACAACTTAGAACATTATATTCAGAGCCTCAAAGTTGATCTTAGCTAAAAAAGTCCGATTTTGTCAGGTACAGCAGGAACTTGTGAAGCTCTTAGATCAGATCTTGTCACAAATAATTATTGCAAAACATTAAAAAAAAAAAAAAGCAGATCTCACTACAAAACTCAGTGCCCCCTTAGCATCAATTCTTATGACTGTAATAACTACCAGAGCAGCTCTTCTGTGAAGAAATACCCACCATTTCCTGCAAGGCATTAAATCAAAAAAGGAACTGGAGATGTGAATCCTAACTGCCCACAACACCAGCTCAGCAGCTTGTCCCACATTCTGCTACCATCAGGGAAGGTTCTTTTTTTTCTTTTTTTATTTTAATTTCCTAAGCAGATCTGAACACTGGAATACTCAATTCAATTTCTAACATGCTGACCCAGCCTTACTTCAGACTTCACCTTCACTTGTCCTTGGAACAAAAAAATAACAAGAAACCAATGCCTCGGACAAAGAACACGGGAATGGAACTTCTCAGTGTTCTAAGATGGCCTTTTCAATTCTGTTCTCCTAACAATTTAGTATTATCTGAGGCACATAACTTTCCTAACTCAGGAAGATATTTGCTCAATTTCCTAACTGTTCAATCTACGCATATCACTTACCAGCATTTTCGAGCTCAGGCAATAATAGAGAACTCAAACATCCTTTTTCCTCACAAACCCACAGAATTATTAGCTTGAATTATAAAGTAATAGATGTATTTTTAACATCATTTCAACAGAAGTATTTAGACTGTGATCCAGAGCCAAATTTAAAAGCAGATATTCACTGTCAAAACTGGATGGCAGAAGGAAGTAACCTCTTGGGTATTTCAGCAATGATTTAACCACCACCCATGACTAAGTTGGAGAGGCTTTAGAAGAGTCATGGGATGGATCAGTTCTAATCTCAATTAATAAAAACAGGAATAACTCCAAAAAGACAAAGAAAGGCAACTCAGATCTTTATACCTTGAGAAAAGTTGAGGGAACTGGGATTATTTAGCTTGGAGAAGAGAAGGCTCCAGGGAGACCTCACTGTGGCCTTCCAGTACTTGCAGGGAGCGTACAAACAGGAGGGGGAACGGCTGTTTGTGAGGGTGGATGGTGATAGGACAAGGGGGAATGGTTTTAAACTGAGACAGGGGAGGTTTAGGTTGGATATTAGGAGAAAGTTTTTCCCCCAGAGGGTGGCGAGGCACTGGAACAGGTTGCCCAAGGAGGCTGTGGATGCCCCATCCCTGCAGGCATTCAAGGCCAGGCTGGATGTGGCTCTGGGCAGCCTGGGCTGCTGGTTGGTGACCCTGCATATAGCAGGGGGTTGGAACTGGAAGAGCGTTGCGCTCCTTTTCAACCCAGGCCTTAGGAAAATAATAATAATAATAATAATAATTCAGGAGAAAAAAAACTCTTTCTGCGGGAATATATTCAGCTAAAAAATAAATCACCTTTTTTGCTTCTTCCTTTGAGGACGCAGATAGGCTTTGATTGTGCTGCCATTTCAAACGAATGTCAGCCAACCTAACTTCCTGTGGCACATCCAGGTGAAAAGTTACATTATGTTTTCCCCAGTTCATCCATAAGAAGTAGTTAAAATGAAGCATCTTATCTAGTTTTTCAGTAGAAAAACCCAGAGGCCTTAAAAAAACAAATATACCACACAGCAAACTTCTAGGGAACAAGTGACAGCCCTGAATACAACAGCTTGTGCACCTTGTATTTAAGATGCTTCGTTTAGGAAGAAAAAGCTTGCTGAATAAAACTCAAATATGGATTTAAGCACTTAATTCCCACATGCTTAGGTTAAAATTACAGGTCTGACAGATCCTCACCACCTACCCCTAATTAGGCTTCTTCAGACTTAACTTGGCTTAAGCACAGTTTTATGTTATTTTCCACAATCTCTGGAGCTTCCCCCTCCACCCTAGAAGACAGTGATTTTCTTGAACCACACTGCAGAGAAGAATGCAGCAGGAGGCCAAGCGATCCTTTCACTTGGAAGGAGATTAAACACAGAGATTCCAAACTTTTTTCCAATGACTCCAGCCCCACGTGCTGCCATGAGATCCCACTCTGCTGAATTCACTGGGGATGCTCATACTTTCAACTCCTGGTGAATCTGACAGCCGCAAAACTCCAAGTGCTCCTAGCATTAAAATAAACAAGCAAATAATGAAACCTCTGTTTCTTCATTTTAGCAGCCGTTAGAGCTGCAATTAGAGTTCTCAGAGGATGCACTTACCCCCTAATGAATCCCTGGAACAGCCATAACAGGGTGCAGGGCAGATTAGAATCCCCACAACACAACCCACTGAATTGATGTCTCCCCTGAGCGATACAAAGCTGGGCCCAGAGATCCTAAGCGTTGTTACACCATCTTCATTTTGGAGCCTTATTAACAAATTAATTGAGAAATAAACACGCCTCCCTCTGGGAAAAGGAGGGAAAAAAAATCAATTTTAATAAAGAGACTAGACACCTTTCCACAAGGCTCTGTGGACAGGAAGACAGCAGAAAAGTTTATTATCAAGCAAAATCATTAACGACCATCTAACATTGCAGCCGTGTACGAACAAAGGCAAGCACAGGACAGGGATGAAAGCAGGAGCGGAAAGCAACATATCAGCTTTCTGCAGAGGCTGCTCCAGTGCCCACACCCATCTCCCAGAGCTGTCAAGCACGGGAAGGACACTTTGCAGAGACAGCACAACGCCGGGGGGGAAAGGGAGTTTCTGTGCTTTTGTTAGTCTGCAGACATCCACGCTTCCTCCAGTTAGGATAGGTCACAGGTAGCTGGAGCAGCCCCGCTGACTCCAAAGGAGCTTTACACACCAGTTTCCCCCCTCCCTGTAGCAGGCAGCAGGACAACAAAGCAGAACCAGCAGCCCCCATTAATTGCTTTTTTACATAAGACTTTTGTCTGATTGTCGGAGGCCATATGGTCCAAGTTTACAGCCAACAGTAAATGTCTTTACCCTGCCCTGTTTGCGGTAACAACCTCAACATTCTTTTAATGTAGTTTTTGGTGGACACATTTCCTTTCCTCTTTATGTAAGTAAATCACCGGGATGTGCTTAACCTGCCCTCTAAAACTCAGCATAGGCCATGAAATTCAAGAAGATCGAATAAAAGATAATTCAGAGTCTCGAAGCCAGGTGGATTGCAACTGCACTGGCACACACACACCCTGCATCCGTGTATTCAGAGAAGACATTAGGAATCTGAAAAATCAAAAACTGCATTCAAAAGCCTTTGTGCATGCATGACAATTCTTCAGAGTGAGCTTTTAAAAAGAAGGCAAAGCTACCACTTCACCTTAGAAAATAATGCATGGCAGAACTTTAATCAAGCACTGCCCCGTAATTAGACACGCTTTCCCCTGAGCAAAAGCATCTTTAAAGCCAAGCATGTGATGCCTTGAACCTCTGTGATACTTAAGAAAATAAACTTAAAAAGACATTCATTATTCTTGAACCGAGTATTTCCATACTAAGTCCCACCTTAGAACAACTTTTAACTGCTAATTTATCATCTGCCCTCCCTGTGACAGGGAAGATTTATAGTGGAAAAGGCTTATTTAAGATTACAGTAATGCCAAAAACATATGGTGTTACACTTCTTGTTATTTTGGTCAAGCAACAATAACTAAGGAAAATACTAAAAAAATACCCCCCCATATATTCCCATAGTTGTAGGGTTTGGCATGGTTCCATCAGAGTGAACTACAGCGGCAACTCAACCTGAAGGATGTTTACAGCAGAGACTGAATGTCCAATCTTATCCTCTTGCACTCATCTGGCTACCCCTTATCTCCACTGCAGCACCAAGGTGCTTATCAGTGCTCTGACCCCTGCCACCAGTGGATGCAAGCACATTCCAAAGCTCCCTGGCCACAGAAGAACTCAGCATGGCAAACATATGGTGCTACGAGAAAGCTGCTCCTCCCTCCTCTGCCTATCTGCCTGTGTTGCTGTGCTCGATGCTACCTGCATACATAGGTGCTATGTCTCAGGGCCTAGGTCACAGTAAAAGAGAGATGGGAGGCTAAATAGGTACTAGACCACATACAATCTACTCCAGAGATTTATATTAGCAAAATCAGGAAGGGGAAAAAGATGAACAACAGAACAGCCGAAGCACAAACTTCATAGCAATGAGGACCTTCACTGCAGGCATCTGCCAAGAAAAAAGAAAAAAAAAAAAAAAGAGGAGTAAATAGGACACACATTGCCCGACAAGCTCTCAAATACTTTGAGATTAACCTTGTTTACACAAGAAATAGGGGGAAAAAAAAGCTATGGAAGGAAGTCTCTTCTAGTTTCATTCTAAGCAAAGGGGAGGAACTAGCTAGGAAAGTGAAAGCAGAAACTTCCAACTCCTGAGACAACAGAAAGCAGGAAAAAGCACCACTTGCTACTCTTCAGGAGGACAGAACAGCCACAAAATAAAGAAAGTGAACTAACAAAAAAGGAACAAGCTATCTGAAAGCCAGAAGATCTGAAGATCTGACGAACCATCTCAGCCAAGTATAATCACAGAATTGTAGGAGCTGGAAGGGACCTCCAGAGACCACCAAGTCCAGCTCCCCTGCAAAGCAAGCCCCTACAGCAGGCAAAAGCTGTTTAATGATTTGAAATTCAACAGATTTTGCATGTATTCCCTTTTGTAAAGCTTCAAATAACTGAAGGTGACTGAAGGTGAACAGTACAATTATTAAACCAGGAAAAGTAAAAGCATTGGGAAAGAAACAACCTGTAGGTAACAAAATATCCCTTCAGAACACACACAGTGAAGGAAAGAGCAGTTAAGTAGGAGTGTGTTAACACCATCTCTAACAGGTAATGCTAAAGCATTCAGAGGGTTTGCTGCATCAGCCTTCACGAGGTCAGAGGAGCTGGCTAATGAAACCCCTGTCAGCACAGAACGACAAGAACACAAGCCAAAACTGGGAAACACATCAGAGCAATTGCCTCAGAACTCCTGAGCAAACATCAAACAAAGACAATTAAGGCAATACAACTCTGCAGGGAACTTACTAATCTTCACCTATGAATAGTATTCAGGCATCACTGCATTCAAAGAGTACTTCAGGGTTTCCAAATCTGGTCAACATAACAACGTGTACTCTACAAAAAGCAACACAGGCAGTTATCAAAGACCATTTCTGCTCCACACATCAGGTTCCAGCAGCCTGAAGAAGGAGACAAACACTGACTCCCACAAAGCAGGAAACCAAATACACATGGTAGCACAGGTTGCCATCAGTCCTGGGATGATGCTGGAATACGTGAGCTGCCAAGCAATCTATCTGCTGCATATTTCAGATAACACAGTTAAAGCCGGTGTAAGAACAAACCATAACAAGGAAACAGAATTTCCTTCAGTGACAGAGGAGCAGAGCAGACAGGGAAACGTCAACTTGAGGCAATATAATTTTGATTTTGTGAGACTTCTGACACATCAATTAACATTCACACAAACTAAAAAAAAGTACATAATGAAGTACTGAGAGATTCCTAGAACCCTACAGGAAGAAGCCAGTACCTTTATTTTAGAGAGAAAACACACATAGTGAGCCATTACCAAGAAACAGCTTCAAGCACGGGGGTTTTTGTAATAGCATACAGAAATAAGCACTTGTAATACTAAAAACACCACTTTAAAGGTGTTACTAGAAGGACACTACAGAAGAAAAGCGACCCAATTGAATCACATCAAGATGAAAAGTTCTTACAACAGAGGTAAAGAAATACAGAAATCCTACCTACGCAGCAACTTCAACTTCACCCTCATGCTCATATGCTTTAAGGCAGTGGATCCCCATTGCAGTACCTCTGTACTGGGAAGGCAAAGGAAGGACCAATCTCTCTGGATCCACGCAGCGTCAGGCTGGGTGGCACTGCACAGTTCTTTCTACCTGCAGATACCTGGGCTGCCCGAGCCCAAAGCTGCAAGAGCTCAGATCACCAATTTGGCCATGGAGAAAACAATTCCAAATGCAGAAGTGCAAAGAACAAGAGCTGAGGAAAGCAGAGGCAGTCTCTGAGCAGCTAGGAAGAAACAAGGAAAGCCAGGCAGGAATATTAGCCTCAAACAAGTTGTACCCAGGATAGCACAAAATACAACTGATATTCTCAAGAAAAACTCAGCTATAAAAGAAAACATTGAGAATCAAAGGAGAGCAAACTGAAATACGCTGTCCTCTGCTGGAAGTGGCTCTAGAGGAGCTTGAAAGCAGAAGGTCAAGAAGTGCTTTGATCTCCACTGGAAAAGAAGATAGATAGAATCATCATTTTCAAGCTGCACAGCCACGCCTAAACCAGCTGCTACCTTTTGAACTAATTTTGTGCTGATGCTGCAGTTCCACACAGCCAGCGTTGCTGTTACCAAAGGGACACTCCTGCTACCTCTTCCTCCTACAGTAGCACCACTAGGAGAGCATCTGCTGCCCTCCCACATGCTTCCCTGGTGGCAGTAAAAGTGTGTGCATGGACGTAGAAGACGTGATCAGGGAAAGGGATTAAAACAACCCCCCTTTTTTCTTTTCACCCTTAAGTAATATAACATAAACCCCTTGCTGCAATCCAGTTTCTTCATCCTGATAACTTACTACATGAGCACGCAGGATTTTTTAGGCAGTCTGAAACATACACATTATCCTAACATTTACGTAATGGGACAAATGGAGAGATACATTTAAAAGGTTTAAAAAAAAAAACAAAAAAAACAACAAAAAAAAAACAGAACGGATTGCTACTGCAGTATGGGGGTTTCTATCATGAACATCTAGAAAGAATTTAGAGCAGCACCTTTACAACTTGCCCAGAACCTAAGGAAGACCTCCAGTTGCATAAGTGCACGTGTTCAGACCACACAGTGCTTACATCAGTACTGCCAGCAGCGGGAATTACCCACGTGTTCAGCTTTGGGAGACAGGAACAACATCGGTAAGGACCTCCCTGCTGCAAAAGGGATGTACTTGGAGAAGCACCGCCAGCACACGCTCAGCAGAGGATAGCCCAACATTAAAAGCAGCACCGAACCTTCAGATAAAGCATTACTCATTCAGAACACACAGGGTAATATATACATAAAGGTGTTTTTTTCCCTCAGCCACCCAAGCAGAGCATTAAACAAAAACGAGAAGCCTTTAAATCGACCAGAAACGCGTTTCTCGCTCCTCCCTCCTCTCCATACCTAGAATCCTCGCCTGGCCGCAGCCCGACAGCCCAGCACAACACCAGGTCGCTCCCCGGGCCCCAGCGCTCCCAGCGCACCCCGGCAGCCCCCACGTAACCCCTCGGGCTCACTCACAGCGTGTGCCCGCAGACATTGACCATCAGCTTCAAGGAGGGGTTGCGGTACTTAGTGGTCTTACAGCGCGGGCAGCCCTGCTCGTCCATGGCTGCTGCTGCCGCCGCCTCCGCCTCCTCCTCCTCCTCCTCCCCTGGCTGCTCGCCGCTCCCTTCCGCCTTCCGCCGCCCGGTGCGCCTCCAAAGCGGCCCCCCGGCACCGCCCGCCGCCCCGCGCGTTCCGCACCGCGGCTCTCAGCACAGCGCACGGCCGGGCCGGGCCGGTACGAACCGCTCCGAGCGGCACCGCGCCTCACAGCCAGCCTCAAGGGAGTCCCAGCACGGGGAGAAAAGCTTTATTTTTTCCACCTCCGGCCCCGCGGGACGGCAAACTGAGGAGAACGGGCTGAGGGGGCCGCGCGGCTCCAGGTGAAGGGAGGAGGGAGTGGGGGGGGCTGAGGAGAGCGGGGCCGTTTGATTGACAGTTGCCATGGCGACGCGCGAGTCCCCGCCCTCTCCTGGCGGTGCAGCCAATGGGAGGGCGCGGCCGGGCCAGCAGGCTGCGGTGCCATATAGTATTGCGGCGGGGCCGGGAGTCACGTTGGGGGGAGCCGCGGAGAGGAGCCCGTTTACACTACTTTGCTATAGCAGCTCTCGTTAATGGTTATTGCGTGGCCGGGAGGAAACCTGATCGGCTAGAGCCGGCCGAGAGCAGGAGGAGGAGGAGTGGACTTTCCGGAGAGATAGAAGAGGGGGGAGAGGAGAAGGGGACACCGAGAGAGGGGAGAGAAAAAAAAAAAAAAAAAAAAAAAAAGAAAACAAACCAAGTCATGTCTTCTGCCTCCCCCGCGGACGAGATCACGATCAAGCAGGAAAATGTGATGGAAATCCTCTCCGACGCCGGCAAGGTGCCCCCGGACGGAGCGGCCGCGCTGAGCCCCGCGCCGCCGCCCCCCCCCGCCGCCGCCCCGTTCCCCATGGAGCACGGAGCCGCCGCCGGGGAGGAGGGCAGCGCCGAGCCCGTCCTGCTCCACACGGAACTTTTGGCCCGGAACCACCACGCCGCCGCCGCCTCTCCCTCCTCCTCCTCCTCCTCGTCCTCTTCGTCGTCCTCCTCGCAGCCCCCCCTGGCTTTCTCCCCGGATCACGTCGCGTGTGTGTGCGAGGCGCTGCAGCAGGGGGGCAACCTGGACCGCCTGGCCCGATTCCTGTGGTCTTTGCCCCCGAGCGATCTGCTACGTGGCAACGAGAGCCTGATGAAAGCCCGGGCGCTAGTGGCTTTCCACCAGGGCATCTACGCCGAGCTCTACAGCATCCTGGAGAGCCACAACTTCGACTCATCCAACCACCCGCTGCTGCAGGAGCTGTGGTACAAAGCTCGCTACACCGAGGCGGAGCGAGCCCGGGGCAAACCCCTGGGGGCGGTGGACAAGTACCGGCTGCGGAGGAAATACCCCCTGCCCCGCACCATCTGGGACGGCGAGGAGACGGTGTACTGCTTCAAGGAGAAGTCCCGCAACGCCCTCAAGGAGCTCTACAAGCAGAACCGCTACCCCTCGCCGGCCGAGAAGCGCAACTTGGCCAAGATCACCGGGCTGTCCCTCACGCAGGTCAGCAACTGGTTCAAGAACCGCCGCCAGCGGGACCGCAACCCGTCCGAGACGCAGTCCAAAAGGTGAGCGCTCGCTCCGCTCCCCGCCCCCTCTCCCGCCGCCGTCTCTCCCTCTCCCGGCCCTTTCTTCCCTTGCAAACATGGCGCTTACCTTCGGCCTCCCTCCTTCCCCCTCCCCACTCCCTCGCTCCCAGCGCACCCCCCCGGGCGCAACTTTTCCGGCCGTCTCTGTGCGTGCGTGAGGCGGGGGATGTGCGTGTGTGTGTGTGTGTGTGTATGGTGCGTGCGGGGCGGGGGGGGCAGCGATGTTTGTTTGTTTCTTCTCTGTTTTGTTGGTTGTTTTTTTTTTTGTTGTGTTTCTGTTTTTTCTTTTAAACTTAACCATCCCTCCTGACAGAGTTAATCATTGACGCGCGGGGTCCCGCCGCTCACTCTTGTTTTGAAACCTGATTCGGGAGCGGCCCCCGCTCGGGTTTCAACGGGGCGAAGCACCGAGGCCCGAGTGGCGGCGGAGCGCGGCCCTCCCGCCC